TCTAACAATATCTTCAACATCTGGGAGAGGATAGGCATCTAAGTAAGTAAATTTATTAATTGTTTGTGAATAATCTACCACCATTCGCTTTTTGTGTGTTTCACCTTTTGTAATAAGTACTTGTGCACGCCAAGGAGAGTTGCTTTCTTCTATGATTCCATTCGATAGCAGATACTGTATCTCGTCAGATATGAATTTTCTATCTTCAGTTGAAAATTTTCTTGATTTAGTTGCCCTCGGTTTGCAATCATTTGATAGATTGGAGAATAATTTGGGTGGCTCTATATTTAAGTATGCCAAACTACAAATGTTATCTATATGATCAATAACTAAAGGCATTTTTGAGCCAGCAAAAGTGATTTCTAGAGAAGAATGTTGTTTAAGCAAGTCATGACCTATAACTACATCAGCACATAAATCTTGAATTATTGATAATTTGACATTTTTATATGAATGTTCGTTTATTTCTAAATTAACAAAGCAGTGTCCTGAGATAGTCGTTCTGAGTGCTGTTGAAGCCATTATTATGCTTGCATGACTTTTAAATGTTTTCACGTTTATAGACAATGCATAATTCTTACTGATATATGACTCAGAACTACCTGTGTCTATTAAACTTTCAGCTGTATTTCCATTCACCTTTATCTCAGTAACACTTTTAGATAAGCATTGAGGGGCAGCAGCAAGATTTCTAACATTCGAACTAGATGTAGTAGTAGCTAAAACAGCAGCTGATACTGAATTGGGCATCTGAAGCCTACATACCTTGGAAAAATGTCCAACTTTCGAGCATTTCTTACAAACTTTGTCTCTAGCAGGGCATAGGCTACGAGGATGCCTTTCAGTTGATCCACAAAAGTAACATTTCCAACTTTTCACAGCAGCAGAAGTATAATTAGTGTGCTCTCTGGTTTCAGAAGAAATTGCATTAATAATTTGTACAGGAGTTGTATAAGCCTCAGAGTGTGTTTGAAGCTGACTCCAGAGACTGGGCTTTTACTATGGCATCTTGCAGAGTAATAGTGTTGTTTTCTAGTAAACGTTGTCTTATGTCATTAGAAAGAATGCCATTAATAAAGAGTCTCTTATATAATCTTCTCTATTTTGGTCTGCAGAAACGGCTAGAAAATTACAGTCTTTGGAAAGCACTTTAAGATGTTGAACGTATTGACCTATATTTTCACCAGTTTGTTGTTTTTTTTGTCATTAGGATATGTCTGGCAAAAATTTCATTTTTGGGTTTAACAAAAGCTGCTTCAAGAATACTTTTGGCTTCAGAATACTTTCTACAATCAGAGATGAGTTCATAGATATTGTTGCTCACGTAATTTACCAGTAGTTTGAATTTCTCCTCCTCTGAAACATCAATCACAGAGGAAATAAAGTTTTCAAAGGTAGCTTTCCAATGCATCCATTCTTGAGACGATCTAGGAGAGTTAGGATCAGTATCGAATCTGTCTGGTCGTAGTAGCTTATCCATATTTGATATTTCTTGTATATTAAATTGTAATGAAATGCAAAACCTTTATAAACTAGGTTTTAATATACAAGAAATTAGCATTGTTTTGTTTGAATGAATAACATGACAATTACATATGACATTAACTAAAACTAAGATGACAAATGACAAACACAGTTCACAGACCACAGGACATATATGTACCTTTTCATAAAACCCCAGAGGCAAAAAACAATTGAGTTTTCACTTCTGGGTGGCCAAGAAATAGGCGCATTCAATCCAATTCAAGAGCCCCTTCCAATCCAATATCCACGATACTGTCATCAATATTTTATTAGCATAGTATGTACGATTTCCACTGGAAATACGTGCATTAATTTCGCTACTTACGAAATTCTTCTGATTGATTTCTGTGCCCAGATATGTGAAGGCATCCACACGTTCAATAGTTTAGTTGTCTATTGCTATATTATTTTCATTCCCTGGTGTTCTTTTGATGGTCATGTACGTAGTTTTTGTTTCGTTTATTTTAAGCCCACTTTTTTGCGCTTCAGGATCAGTTTGCTTGAACGTTTCCATTAGTCGCGTCTTGCTTCTACTAATAATGGCAATATCGTCTGCATATGCGGTCATTTGAACTGTTTTGGTGTTTATATGGCCGGTTACATTGGTTTTTCTGAAGACTGCTTCAAGAACTAGTTTGAACAGCATGGTTGAAAGTGCGTCTCCCTGTCTCACCCCCATGTTCATGTCAAACAGAAGAGACAGTTCTCCATCTACTCTAACTGCGGCTTTTTAACCCTGCAATGTCATTTTTATGAGGCTTATATATTTTTTGGTATACCTAGGTTTCGGAGGTCTTCCAGCATTTTGTCTCTTTTCACACTATCAAAAGCTTATTTAAACTCTATATACTAAGTCTATATATAGTTCTATGTCGTATTCATAAGCTTTCTCTTGTATTGTTATAAGTATAAATATGTTGCCTGTATTTGGTCTGAATCCATTTTGATAATCACCAATTATATTTTCGGAGTATTCTGACAATCTAGTGTAGATAATGCCAGAAAAGATTTTGTATATTACATTTAGCAATGTGATTAGTCTGTAATTCTGGCATTTTCTCTTTTCTCCTTTTTTATATATTGACAGTATAAGATCAACTGCCCATTCCTCCGGCATTTCAGGCGTTATCAGGTAATGGATTCTTCCCCAGAATTCGGGTCCTCCATATTTCAACAATTCTGCTCTCTTCTGTTATATTCTCTTCTTCTTCTAGTTCCATGACCGCTATCGATCGTTGGATATCATGTTGGCTACCATATTCGCTATCGTGACTTTATTGACAGCAGCTCTAAATAACGATGTAGTTGATTTTCCATACCATTGTCTTAGATTTTTCAGCCATGATGTTCTTCTTCTACCAGGACCACGATTACCTTGGATCTTTCCCTGAATGATCAGATGTAAAAGATCATATTTTTCAGGGTGTCTCATAATATGACCGAAGTATTCCAGCTTGCGTTTCTTTATTATATTGACCAGTTGTGTTGTTTGGTTCAGCCGTCTAAGGACCTCCCATTTCTAACTCTGTCGACCAGCTTATTTTTCAGTAGTCGTCTGTATACCCACATCTCAAAGGCTGTCAAGCGTTTAAGCATAGCCTCAGTTAGGGTCCACGCTTCTACTCCTGTTATATTCTAGGATTTCTTATACTTGTTTTTTCAAAGCCTCTCTTTTTTTTCTTCTACGTATTCTAGTCGTTTTGTAACGATATTTTGCCTACCACAGGGGGCATTATTACAAGGGGTAGAAAATTGGGGGAAGAAACTATTGGGGGTGAAGATAAGGCAAGCAAAATAATCGCTACTGATGCGAACGGCACTCAGGGTTTCGTAGGAGAGCTGGGGTCGTGGATAAGTAAAAGATAAGGGCATTGGAATGGGGGAACTACAAAAAAATGAAATAAAGGGCTCTTGGGATAAACAAAATAAAAATAAACAAGAAACACCTCAAGGAATTTAATATAGGGCGCCACTTGAGGTGCCTAATCGTGCCTATTACAACCACTAGTTGTAACTAGGAAAATGATTAGAAAAAAAAAAAATCAAAACATAAAAACATATCTTTTTCAAATAAACTCAAAAAGGGTTAACTCAAAAAAAATAAATAAATGTTAAGAAAATAAAATTTAACTTTTATTTATGTGTCACACAAACAGTTACATGGAGAAATACAAAATTCAAAAACTTACATGTGTCATCCATTAACAAACTCCATTGCTACAAAACTTACAAAATTGCATGGAGGTTAACCTTTAAAAAAAAAACAAAACAAATCAACATCAAAATACTAAAACGAGCTGTCATAAATTAACATTAAATTTTAGAAAAAAACTAAACACAAATGGACAGCTTTACTCAAAACCTAAAATTTACAATTTTAAATGTCAACGAAAGCAATTATTATTTTATAAAAAAATGTCTGTCTTTAGTTTTAAAATTTGAACAAAATGTTACCTTAATTCACATGATCAGACTTAGTTTCTGAAACCATAACTGGAACCTGGAACTGAGGGCTCCACTCTCTCTGCATCACGAAAACCTCCATCTCTAAACTGCAAAAGCCTTGGATAAAAGCAGGAACAAAAAAAAACAAACCGAGGATGTCCTCCAATCCTCACTCAAAACATTAATAATTGAAGCATTTACTGCCACAAAACCAATAACAAACTGCTACATATTTTTCATAATAGAAGACGAAAACAGAACACTTTACAAATTCGACGTGAATTTGGACATAACGCTGAACCGCTCTTGAAAGCTGCTCCAACGAGAGTGACGAAATTATCTGTTAAAATTGAACGCATACATACAAACGCTGACATAACAAGACACCACGAAACGACGTACATATCCTTTTGCGACGCATTAAATTTGCGGCTTCTAATAACACAAGAATTTGCCGAGGAAGTTAAATAAATAAACAACTCTAAAATGGTTTATTTCAACTTGGCCGACCTAAGAAAGAAATGGAAAGATATTTGGGTTTAAATACGTACGAAATATTTTTAGATCTATCAAAAATATATAAGGTGATTTTAATATTTCGTATACGAGGGGACTTCAATATACTTCAAAGAATCAATGAAATTGAAAATGCTACAGTTTGTACATCGCATGTGTCTTTTCGGTACACCCTGTATAAATGGACTTTTGAAAGTGGTATTCATCTATGCAGTGCATTATCTATTGGGACGAACTCATAACTTTATAGCTCCCCATAAAATTATTAGACCCTCCGAGTTATAGTAAGCTGTATTATAATGGCCTTTAATCAATTAATAAATACATAATATAAATATATGATGCTAATTAATTATTCATCTTTACACGTTTTTATTGACCACGCTGTCTAACGGAAGCTGTCATAAGCTGGCATCCTTAGCAAAATTAAAAAATAGAAGAAATAGAGTTGTTATTTCATCTTGGAAAAAGAAACTAAATTTGTGAAAAGTCTAAAAATTAAAATAAAGGACATTTTCTTGATTATAGTATTTATTTTAAACATACTGAACAAAATCTTACAGTTAAGTTCCATTTCGAGAAATATATAATGATAAAAAATTAAAATATTAATCACTTTCGTCTTCATCACTAAAATATTCACTTTTCTTAATTTTCTTTCTAGGTATCTTGTTCAAACTGTTTTCTTCGACTGGACAATAATTTCCTGTGGCAACTTTATACCTATAATCCTCTAGTTCATATTTTTCGTGCTATAAACATAATAAAAATTAATTACATCTTGTCATACATTTATTATTATTAGAAAATCATGGCCGGAAATGACATAGACAAAATAAAAAAACCAATTAATTGAATGGAATTATAAATCGTAATAAAGTTCAACATCAAATACACTTAATATTAGCTTAATATTGTACTTTTCTTTTAGCTATTTTAGCTTAAAGAGGACGTGACCATAATTTTAGTGATAGAAATCGGAGTCCAAAATATTATTACACCATGGCCCATTTAACGGGTGGCCACAACAGTAAAATTTGGCAACAGTAAATAGAGGGCCTACAAAAATGTCTGCTTGTCTTTATATATGCATTCAGCTGAACAAAACATTTGATCTTATAGGTTTAGTTTACCCTTTTTAAATATACTATACATTGAGGTAAGTGTGGCAACTTCGCTTTCTCGAGTCTATGCCAATATCCCAACACACTAAGTGTAAGTGATAGCCTACAATGCGATTGATAACTCGATAATCAGGACCTTAGAACCTGTTAGCTGTATGCCTTTATTTTCAATTGGAACCGTGGAAATTACTATCAAGGTCATTCTTTGTCAGAATGTGTAGATCTTTTGCTAATACTTTCAAAAATAGACCCATATACATTGTAGACAAACAATTCCAGATATTGTAAATAGTTTAGAAACACCTTATTGTTTACAAGATTGTACATCCAATGTGATTGTACATACAATGGCTTGAAAGTAATGTAATAGTAACTTATTTAGCAGACAGCAAGAGAACAGTAAGTAATGGAAATTAATTAGTTTTTTATATTGTTAATTTTATATTTATAAAATATAAAATTTACAAAATATTTATAAAAACAGTTTACTACAAATCCGTTCATTGCTGGCTGTACAATACAGACAAACTCCCAACAAAACTGATATAATATATAACTTACTTCTAAAGCTATAGCAGCACTTAATGTTTCACAATCATCAACTGCTTCCTCTTCCTCATCGTTTTCATCATTATTACCTCTATCCTCATCACTAGTGTCAAAGTATTCCTTTTGCTCCTAAAAATAATAACATAACATAACAATATCTTTATTTTTAGAAAATAATATACATTCCGTGAACATAAAATTATTAAAAAAAAAAAAAACAGTGTCACAAACGAAAATATTATTTACTTATTCTAACCGTTACATATACAAATAGTCCTCCACAGAATATGGCTCAAGAGCTACCAGTAATTTAAATATTTGATGTTTTATACAAACTTAATCTTTCCTCCCTTTTAATAGGTTCAGGCAGTTTTATTAAACAATTTGATGCAGCAATAAAGAGTGTTTTTTTTTCTGTTATACTTAACCTGTGTATTGGAATTTTATAATTATATAACCTGGTATTTACTATACTATTGGGCTCAAAGTTCTAAAGAGTATTTTATTTATATATAGAAAACAGTAAGCATTCTTGAATAAATACAGCGTAAACTGTTAAAATATTATTACTCCTAAAATGCCCTCTACATGATTCCTACTTTTTAAGTCAAACATAACTCTGATTATTTTTTTCTGAACCAGAAATACATTATTTATGTCCCTACTGTAGCCAAAATTTATTAAACCATATCTAAATTTTGCTTCAAAATTAGCATGACACTGTTTTTAATGAGTTACTATTCATGTATTTTTTTAGAACTCTAAAGCTGTAAATTTGGCGCAGAAGGTATAACTTTGAACTATACAACATATACCAGGATCCGGATATCATAACATTAATTAAAATAGGAAGGCTACGTTGGATTGGACATGTGGAAAGAATGAAGAAGGCGAAATACCAAACAAAATATTCAAACAAGTGCCAGTAGGAAAAAGAACAAAAGGAAGACCGAAGCTGAGATACGTAGAACAAATAGAAAATGATATAACAACATTAAAAAATAAAAACTGGAAAAAAAAGCACGAAACAGGTCAGAATGGAGAAGAATCCTTGAACAGGCCAAGACCCAAAAAGGGTTGTCGAGCCAGTGATGATGATGATGAAAGCTGTAAATCACTTTACTCAAAGACATACATAACTGGTCAACATGTTTATCCCAACATAAAAAACTGTCAATATATAATCCTAAAATTTGGTACTGCTGCTAATATTTAAAGTGTCATTATTTACAATAATACTGTTTGGCATATCTGAATGTGCATAATTTGTCTTAAACAAGAGAAAGATCTGTTTTATTTTGATTTAAAACCAACCTATTTATAGAAAACCAGTCTTTAGCTTTCTGGAACTCTAAACTAGCATTAACACTTAGAACAGACATGTCTTTACCCCTGACTAAAATGTTTGTATCATCTGCATAATTTGTTATGCTGGAAGTAGTATTAGCCACTAGACCATGAAGATCATTGATATAGATCACAAACAGTAAAGGACCAATCACACTTTCTTGTGGTACTCCAATATTGATAGTGCTTTCAGATGAGATGCCTATTTCAGTGTTTTTATGTATTTTACTAAATGTCTCCTATTTGCCAAGTAGGACTTAAACCAGTTCAATGCTGGTCCATGTATACCATATTTCTCCAATTTATCAAATAATATGTCATGCACTAAACAGTCATATGCTTTGATAGGTCCAAAAAGAGACCCAAGCCATATGACCAATCTCAGTACACTTCAAATATCCCAGACAAATTGAAAAATCGCAGTCTGAGTTGATTTTCCCTGTTGATAACCATGCTGATTTGCACTAATAATATGACATTTTGTTAAAAATTCTGTTATCCGCCTATACATAGCCATTTCTAAGATTTTTGAAAAGGAACATAGAAGGCTAATTGGTCTATAGTTATTAATTAATTTAGGATCACCCTTTTTGTAAACAGGTGTTACTATGGCAGTTTTCAGGCATTCAGGAAATACACCAGATTTTAGTGAATTATTTATGATTGTAGTGAGAGGATTCACTATCTCCTTTATACAAAGTTTAAGGATTTTAGTGGTATTTCATCAATTCCACAACTCATTTTGTTTTTTAAATTTTTAGTTATATCCATAATTTCAGTTTCTGTCATATACTCTTTAATATACTTAAAGGTTACATTAATAAAATTAAACATAATCATCAAGTTGCAATCAACTTGGTTCTTCAAAAATTTAATTTACATTCTAATGCTCTAAAGAAATAGCCATTTTTATTTGTGTAGGTATTCACAAAGTTTTATATTTTATCACCATGCCTTAATCTATATATGTTTGGATCAAGCACTCCTCTTGTCTCTTCGCTTGTCTTCACTCTCAAATAACTTACTTTAAGTAAAGCAAAGTCTAGTTCTAAACATGTTTCTTAAAAACCTATATTCCATTTAATCTGATGAAATCGCAGGGATAAACTGTAAAATTTGCATGGCTAGTAGATGCTATTTTGGCCTTAATCTCCTTTTTAAATCTACAGTTATATCAAGAAATACAAAAGTAAAACTCTACAAAACAAATAATACGCCCAGTCCTAACATATCGTTCAGAAACCTGGACTTTAACAAAAAGCAATGAAAACATGTTAGGATGTTTCGAAAGAAAAATACTAAGTAATTGATGGATTCGACCGTTACTTGATGGAAATTCATTTTATGTAACAATAAAACACTGAAAACTTTGTTTTCAAACTTCCACAAAATTTATTTTAACTATTATCACTACAGCTGTTTCGGCTGATAGCCTTTCTCAAGTGATCTATTTTTGGCATGCGTTTACAATTTATAGTCTCTAATGAAATAGGTTGAGGAGGGGAGAACTGTTTGTCTCAAGTTGGTCATTCAGAATTATATCTGTGTTTTTTAAATTTATTGATTTCCATAGATTCTAAAAGATAGCTTAGGCCTTTATTTTGAACGTGAAGAATTTTAAATTTGTCATTGAAAGAATGATTATGATCTAGAAAGTGAAGTGCGTATGTCGATCTGTTTTTCTATTCTTGAAAGCCCTTTTATGTTCTGCTATTCGTTTCTCAAAGTTTCTACCAGTTTGACCAATGTAAGTTTTTGGGCAGTCGCCACATTGAATTTTATACACACCACTATTTAAGTGTTTTTTATTTTGACTCTGTTATTTTTAATATATTTACCTAGGTTGTTATTTGTTCGGAAAGCTGGTGTTATTCCTTTCTTTTTTATATGTTTGGCAATTTTTGTTGTTATTTTGCCTGTATATGTAATCGAGCAGAAGGTACTGGGTTTTTTCTCTGGTGGTGGAAATACTATTTTCAGGGCTTTCTTGTGTAGTTTTTGATTTAACATTTTATTAATTGTTTGTTCGTTGTATCCGTTGTTTACTGCTATTTGCTTAATTATATTTAATTCTGTCTCAAAGTTGTCTTTTGACATCGGAATTTCTGTTAATCTATGTAACATGCTATGATAAGCTGCCAGTTTATGTTGTGTTGGATGAGATGATGAATTGTGTATAGTCGTGTCAGTATGGGTAGGTTGTGAAATATAGAGAAGTCATGTTTGTTTTGAAGTCTGCTAATTTTTAAATCTAAAAAATTTATGCATTGATTTTGTTCTGTTTCTATTGTAAATTCAATATGACTATGAAGTGAATTAATATACGATAATATACAAACGATTAATATACATACGATTAATATACAAACCTACCCATACTGACACGACTATACACAATTCATCATCTCATCCAACACAACATAAACTGGCAGCTTATCATAGCATGTTACATAGATTTAACAGAAATTCCGATGTCAAAAGACAACTTTGAGACAGAATTAAATATAATTAAGCAAATAGCAGTAAACAACGGATACAACGAACAAACAATTAATAAAATGTTAAATCAAAAACTACACAAGAAAGCCCTGAAAATAGTATTTCCACCACCAGAGAAAAAACCCAGTACCTTCTGCTCGATTACATATACAGCAAAATAACAACAAAAATTGCCAAACATATAAAAAAGAAAGGAATAACACCAGCTTTCCGAACAAATAACAACCTAGGTAAATATATTAAAAATAACAAGAGTCAAAATAAAAAACAACTTAAATAGTGGTGTGTATAAAATTCAATGTGGCGACTGCCCAAAAACTTACATCGGTCAAACTGGTAGAAACTTTGAGAAACGAATAGCAGAACATAAAAGGGCTTTCAAGAATAGAAAAACAGATTCGACATACGCACTTCACCTTCTAGATCATAATCATTCTTTCAATGACAAATTTAAAATTCTTCACGTTCAAAATAAAGGCCTTAAGCTATCTTTGTAGAATCTATGGAAATCAATAAATTAAAAAACACAGATATAATTCTGAATGACCAACTTGAGACAAACAGTTCTCCCCTCCTCAACCTATTTCATTAGAGACTATAAATTGTAAACGCATGCCAAAAATAGATCACTTGAGAAAGGCTATCAGCCGAAACAGCTGTAGTGATAATAGTTAAAATAAATTTTGTGGAAGTTTGAAAACAAAGTTTTCAGTGTTTTATTGTTACAAAAATACTAAGGTGAATCTATGGAGCGGTAAATGAAAATGGCGTCTGGAGAAGACGATACAACTTCGAATTCTATAGAATATACCAGGAACCAGATATGGTAAAACACATTAAGATAGGACGTCTGAGGTGGGTAGGCCATGTAATGCGGATGGAGCAAACTGACCCATCTAGAAAAAACGCTCCTTCTTAGACCAATTGGTCAAAGAAGAAGAGGAAGATCCAGAACAAGATTCCTAGATAACGTAGATCAAGATATAAGAAATATGGCAGAGGAAGGCAATGGATAGGGACAACTGGAAAAAAATTCTTGCACAGGGTTGTAAAGCTAAAATGATGATCATTTAATCTGATGTCCCTCTTCCTCCCTTGTATGTACTCCTCAATTTTGGCATTTTACTGTCCCAGAAGGGTCCATTTTATTAAGTAATCCACAATCTGTTGCTACGAATGTCATAAATTTATAAAAAATAGTACAACTAAATTTACCTTAGTTAACTTGTTGGATGTTTCATTTCTTTTCTTCCTTTTTCTAATTTTTTTGGGTGGAGGTTCCCTTTCACCAAGTAAATTTTTCTCACATTTATAGCTTAAATGACCATACTCTCCACATTCATAACACATTGTTTTATTTGGATACTCCTAAAAATATTCAATTATAAATCAATAATTTTTTATTTATTTATTTATTTAATTAACGGATATACCATTTTTACAGAAATATGACGTCAACCTTTACAAAGCTTATACATAGGTTGCGTTAATAAAAAACAAACCAAAATTTAAAATCAAACAAAATTCAATTAAAGTAGTAGCTTAAGTTATTAAATAATGCTCAAAACCTCACAAATGATTTCTTAAATGTTGCTGTAGATATTCCAAATAACTCTAAACTATTGCATTGGCAGTTCGTAAAATTCTTGTAATGGGTTCATTTTGGCCATAATTCGTAGTGTGGAATGGAATGTTGAAAATCTCAGTATTACGAGTTTTTCTAATATTAACATTAAAACTTATTAAACTTAGTAACTCTAGATCTTGAACATATCCATTTATAATTTTAAAAAGAAAACATAAATCCGCTTGACATCTTCTATCATGTAGTGATGAGATATTTAGTATTGACAGTATATCATCATATGTGTATCTCTGTCTAATAAAACCAATTTTGTAAGCACATACCCTCAAGAATTTATTTTGAACTCTCTCGATACTGTAGATGTCACTGTTATATGAAGAAGACCAAATGAGAGAACCATACTCCAAAACTGATTTTAATAAAACTGATTATAAACTGATATAAACTGATTTTAATAAAAAATTAACAAAAAAATCTTTAAAAATAATGTATGAATACTGAAGAAATATTAATAATATTACTACTACTACTACTACTACATGTAGGTTTATAACGTTCTTCATCGTTTTTTGATTTATAATCGACACTTCATCCAGTTGTTTCATAGGTCCTCTTTGTTTCTTTATCTCATCTCTTTTGTCTATTTCTTCTCTTCAACTTGTTCTCAGTCTACTTCTTTTTCTCTTGCTTTCTGGTTGCCATTTTAGTATTTTCTAGTACTTGTTGTTCATCCATTCTTTGTATATGTCCGAACCAGATAAGTTCTTTTGTTGATAAGTTATCTGTGATTGTTAATGTAATTCCCATTATTTCTCTAATGCGTTCGTTGTTAATCCTTTCTCTTTTAGATCTTCCTGCTGCTCTTCTCCAAAATTACATTTCCTGTGCCCTCACTGTTGCCAACATTATTTCTTTCAGTGGCCATACACCACAGCTGCTTAGAGTTATACTTTTCACTATAGTCTCATATATCATCTTTTTATTTTCTTTGCTAATGGGTCAAATGTTCCATCATTCAAAATGTTTATACCTAGATACCTGGGCTTTGTTGTGGTTCTGTTGTCTAATGTGAGATCTTTTTTGTTTTCCTCCAATGCACAAGTATTCAGTTTTCTTTTGATTCACTTCTAGTCCCCCTATTTGTTCGGGCAATATAGTTTACTCGCCATAATCTTGGGCCACTATCACTTAATCATCTGCAAAGTTGAGCGTATATGCCATAGTGTTGGTGAGTGGTATCGATATTGTTCTACATTTTTGTTTCCATCTTCTTAAAGTGCTTTCGAGGTATATGTTAACTAAAGTGGGGTTAGGCTACAAACTTGCTTCAATCCCTTTTATGTTAAAAACCTGGTTGTTATTTGTGTTCCAGTTTTTATTTCTGTTATGGGCTGATTATATAGTACTTTCACAGTATTTATTAACTCAACTATTGAATGCTTTCCATAGGTTGGTGAACAATATATGAATTTCTTAATTCTATGCCATCTTTTTTTCTATTATTTGGGTTATAGTAATAACTTATTAGGTTATTAGTGTGACAGACTAGCCATATTAGAAGAAAGACTATGTAAGATTTTAGTTGTTAATAATAATAAAGATTCTTAAAAAACATTAGAAAATAGTTGTTCGAGAATGACAGCAAAAAAAGGTGATTCAAAACAAATACTTATTTGTTTAGAAATGTATTTAATATAAATTACTATACCTTTCTTCGAATAAATTCCTTTGTTCTCCCATTATCTTTGGCAATACTCGCCTTTAAAGTCCTTCCAAACATCTACGATAAGAAAGTATATTTATTTTAAAATATGTGGATACCTTGAATAAAAATATTATACAATCAAATGAAATCATACACTTAAAGTAGCAGATTTTGAAGAATAAATTATTAATTCACAGCAACTCCACTACTCAACAAATTTAGAGGCGAAAACCAGCAATTGGGAAATTCACATACTGTAATTCAAATACCAGTTCTAGTTGCAAAACCATATAACTAATTTGTTGATTTCAAACGGAACAAATCCAAAAAAAAAAGATAAAGAAATCTAGTATGCTAGGGTAAGTTGAAACTCCCTTTTGTTCAAATATTGAAAAATTCACTATTAATTTTGAGTTTATTAACAATCTAACATTTTTATATTTAAGTTATCATTTTAGTTTAGTTATCATAATTTTTCAATTTGGAATAAGGCCCTCCATGCCACTATTGACTGAATATGTGCTTATAATATGCATTATATGTATTTGTTGAGATTGTAATGTATAATATGAGTTTCACTACAAAATCACTTTAGTTTGCAAAATATGTTTTAAATACATTCTTTAAATCACACATATTTGAATGGTCACATTGGACATATATAGTGAATTTTATATATTATTAGACATTTTTTTATTAATATTTTTAGTTACATTTGCTCAACTCATATTTTTAACACATCATTTCAACTATAAAATACTTACTTCTTTCAAGTTAATTTCATCAACACAATTTGCTGCATCTTCCGGTTTCAAAAATAATATAAAAGCAACTCCTTTACTCCTTCTTGTATCTCTTTCTTTCAAAACAGTTACTCTAAGAGTTAAAATAACAGTATTTAAATAAAACTATTTTTCAGAAATATAAGTATATTAGTTTTAAATTAAATCATATTATCTATTTTGGGTAAACTTATTATAGAAACATACTCTGCAAAAAAAACATGATTTTTTGAGTAAAAAGGAAAGAAAACCAAATCATTATGTTTCAATTGCTTAACTGGGATGTTTGATTTATTTTATCTTACAATAAAATCTGTACAAAGGTCTACCTTTGTACTAAGGTTAAGATTCCGAATCTTTCTGACTTCAATGTCTGGATTTCTATGTAAAGATTCACTATGTAATCTAACTGAAATATTACTTATAGTGCTCTAGTCTTTCTTGGCTAACTGTTCTCAACACTTGAAATTTGTGTTAATCCAAAATACATAACAGTAGGAAACCAAATATTAATTAGACAAAAAGATTAACTTACTTTACAATTTTCCCATGTTTTTCAAACAATTTATGAATATCATTATTTTTTAAATCAAAAGGTAAATTTGAAACGTATACAGTACTTTTACTTGGTACTAAACCTCCACTCATGGTCGATGATCGTATTATAATATAAAATATATTTTAAAAACAATTGTTTTGTTATATTTACATCTAGTCATTTTTGAAATTTAAATAAGGTTAGATTTTTGTCAACGTCAACGTCAACACATTCTTCTTTATGTAACCAATGTTTTCATTCATTGTATTTTCAAGCTCAGTTAAAAACTCATTTTTGATAATTTTGAATTAAGGCTACAAAACTAGTAAAAACGTAATATTGTGAAGCTGTTTCTTGTGGCATTTTACTATTTTTATTGGAAATAATCGCAACTTTCACATTAGTGCGTGTATAACAAATTTTTGGATGAAATACGTAGTGGCGTGGTGGCATTACTATCGATAGAACTATCGACTGTTCTGGATTATCAAAATGCTAGAGGCCACTGATCATAGTACATAAAATTATCATCATGCTCTGCCATCTGCCACTGATCTTGTTTCGAGAATGTTAATATGAATGTCAAGTTTGTGATTGTTAGAAAAACATAATTTTGCAGAAACAAATTCAAACCCAAATTCGGATAAGTTTCAGCCCTTATGAAGGATAGATTTGAAGTAACCAAACGTTTGCTTGTAGTTGCTTTGTTTTTACTTTTTATTTGGACGTGTCAACAAATATTTGGAGAGTAATTTTTAGTTGTTTTAAAAAACCTTTATACCATCATGTCTAAACAAAAAGTTTCATATTTTTTTAATCCCGATGTGGGGAATTTCCATTATGGGACAGGTCATCCTATGAAACCTCATAGATTATCTGTTATCCACAGTTTAATAATGAATTATGGTCTTCATAAACGAATGCAAATTTATAGGCCTTATAAAGCTAGCGCCCATGATATGTGTAGGTTTCATTCGGATGAATACATAGGTAAGACATACAATTTGTTAAAGTAATGATTTTTCATTAATTTTTTGTTTTATTAGATTTCCTACAGAAGGTAACACCTCAAAATATTCAAGCCTTCACCAAACATCTTAGTCATTATAATGTAGGAGATGATTGTCCTGTCTTTTATGGCTTATTCGATTTTTGTTCAATGTACACTGGGGCTTCTTTGGAAGGAGCTATGAAATTAAATAACAATGAGTGTGATATTGCAATAAACTGGTCAGGTAAGTCTATATTGAATTTTATATAATATTTTGTTTGTGTTCTGCTTATACCAGTAATTTCTGGTGGAATTTCGTAGGATTTCTTGTTCACTAACTTAATGCATGCATTAGGAATTCATTCGATAGGATTAGTGAGCCTGCTAGGACATTTAGGCGACCATGCTTTGTTTACATTACATTTTTAACTAATATTTGATGTTTTGATTTCCACTCCTGAAATTGTTTTCAAAAAAGATTACTTAAGAATTGTGTGGAAAAAGAGTGTAACGTGGTACCATTTGCGTCATAAAAAACTGGTATAACTCTTATAACCGAAAATCGTGTTTTTCAAGTTGTGTAAGTTGATCTTGTCACATGTCATTCTAATTTCTAGGACAATGTTGCCAGTTCAATGAAATATTATATTAAATCAGCTAAAAGGAGGGCTGTACCACAGACATATTATAAAATTACAATAAATGCATTCCAATGTTCCCTGTGCCAATACTTTATGTTTAAAAATCCTTTAAACATTTTGGGCATTAACACAACCCTCTCTCTGGTTATTAAATTTATTAGATACCGTTTTTTGTTGTTAATGACAGTAATAATACTTATATAAAAACTTTTGAAACATATTTGAGCTTTTTTATTTAGATTTCATACAATTCCGCTATCTGTGATGGCAATAACGAATTGATTCATGAACCAAGTATGAACACAGGTTTACATTGGGAAAAAAAGTGTACCAGTTTTATATGACGGGAACTGTACCAAATTATGGTACTATACTGGTATTTGTATTAAGATACTAAGGAAGTAAGTAGTTGCAGTTTATATAATAAATATTTATTTTCAGGGGGATTGCACCATGCAAAAAAGTTTGAAGCATCTGGATTTTGTTACGTCAATGATATTGTTATAGCCATTTTAGAATTGCTTAAGCATCATCCTAGAGTTTTGTATATAGACATTGATGTTCATCATGGAGATGGTGTTCAGGAAGCATTTTACTTAACAGATAGGGTTATGACAGTTAGTTTTCATAAATATGGAAATTATTTTTTTCCTGGTAAGTATTTATATATTTTATCTATATTTTTTTTTAATTTATAATAACAAGTATTTGCTAGATTATTTGTATCTTTTGTTAAACCATTGTTATTGCTAATCTGTAAGCAGATAGAATAATATTGTATAAAACTTTGTATCTGTTTGAAAGCTGCGATCTTTTTTATGTAGTCACTAAAATGTAAAATATGTCATTGATATAATTGTTATAATTTCTTATTCATTTTTAGGAACGGGAGACATGTATGAAATAGGAGCAGAAAGTGGAAGATATTATTCTGTTAATGTACCTTTAAAAGAAGGAATTGATGATGCCAGTTATTGGCAAGTATTTAAGCCAGTAGTATCTGCTGTTATGGATTTTTATCAACCGTCTGCAATAGTATTACAATGTGGAGCTGATTCTTTAGCTATGGATAGGTATAATTAATATAATTACTTAACATTAACAATGATCAATTTATGTCATATATTTATTTGTTTTAGATTAGGGTGTTTTTCTTTAAGTACAAAGGGTCATGGAGAATGTGTCAAATTTGTTAAAGATTTGAATGTACCCACTTTGGTTGTGGGAGGAGGAGGTTATACATTAAGAAACGTAGCTCGTTGTTGGACTTACGAAACATCATTACTGGTTGATGAACAAATATCGAATGAATTACCTTTTACTGAATATTTGGAATTTTTTGCTCCTGATTTTACTTTGCATCCAGAAGTAGTGACCAGGCAAGATAATGCAAATAGCAAGCATTATTTAGAAGCAATTACAAAGTAAGCAGTTTTAATTTTATTTATCAATTATATAGTTGCAGGGTTTACTCAGATCTATACATCTATAGATTTATCAAAACAGATAATTTACATAAAAAGATCAAAATACAGCCAACTACAGGAATTTGATTTTTCTTGTTAATTTTTTTTAATATTATGACCTTTAGAATCTTAAGGTTGCTTTCCACATCATCAGTCCATCTTTAACGCAGTTTTTCTCTACTTCTTCTGCCCTCTAGCTTTTAGAATGTCAATTTCTTTGTGCACTCATTATCTGACAACCTAGTAATAAACATAAGTGTTTCAATGTTTTTCATTTTTACTAATATTTTATTTTAGGTACACCTTTGACAACTTAAAAATGTGTCAGAATTCTCCTAGTGTGCAAATGCATGATGTTCCTGGTCCGGCGATAACTGAGGATGAAAAAGTAAAGGAAGAAGAGGATCCCGATGTTAGAATAAGTCAACAATTGGAAGATAAAATCGTAGAACCGAAAAACGAATTTTATGATGGTGATAAAGACAATGATAGAGAACAATGATTGTAGAACTTAATTTAGTTGTAAGAATTTTTATTAGATTTTTGTACAATACATAGTTTTAATTTTTTTTACATTTTACGATTTGTGAGGTTGTGTACAAGTGGCGTGCGATCGAAGGCAACTAGAATATATATTATTATATAGTATTGTGTATTATTATTGTGATTACTCCACATCATAATCTAAGAAGTTTGAAAGAAAAAATATTGATTAAGATCAGAAGCACATGAGACAACTTAGGGACGCCTGTGTTCAACAGTGGACACTACAGGCTATGTGATGATGGTCAAAGATATTAGAGAATTGAAAAGAAAACAGTTATAACTTGTATATCATTATTAGCTCGAAAAACTGTATGGGTCATGGTCTTCTCCAAGATTAGTTAAGGGAAAAATTTTTTTCTCAAGACCCTGACCCCGCCAGACAAACAACGGTTGTTTTGAGTAGTATGTTCTTCTATATCAAAAAATATATGTTTCCTGCAGTCGATTTTTTGGACTTAATTAGTTATTAACAAATTAAGTTAAAAAAGTAAACTTTTGCTTTTTTCATGTATCAGCAAAAAGTTAATCATTTGAAACAAATTTGAGAGTAAGAATTTAAGTCAGATAAAACCTTCAAAATGGCGTTTTTTAATATTTCTATCCTTTTTCGGGGTAAACTAACTCTATACTACTTGGAGCCGATGTCCCCTCAGATCACAACTTATTAATCAGTGACATAAAACTCAAACTTAAAAAAGTAAAACGTCAAGAACCGACTGACCGAATAAACACTGACTGTATTCGACATTATATGCAATTACATACGTGATAGAAAAGAAGTTCAAACAATCTGAACAAACACATAACATCGAAGACCTCTGGAATCATGTCAAAACCATTATGCTAGAAACAACTAAAAAGTGTAAAACTATGAATAAGCGTAAACAACAATGGATGACTGATGAAATATTGGGACTTATGGAAAGCAGAAAAATAAAAAAACCGAAGAATACAATAAAATCCATAAATAAATCGGAAGGAAGGGATGCAGAAGAAAAATAGTACAATTTCTTGATGCAACAAATGTCTTGAAATAGAAGAACTGCAGAAAAAGAATGACACGTTTAATATGTACAAGAAGGTGAAAGAAATAACTGGAACATATAGAACAACTGCAAGTAGTTTACTTGATAAACAAGGAAATATAGTCAATGAACAAGGCAGGTTAGAGAGGTGGAAATAATATATTGGTAGCTGGTTGATGACAATAGAACAGAAATTAAAATCGAAAATATATCCAAACATAATAATCGTTGAAATGGAAAGAGCTATAAAGCTATCAAACAATAGGAAAGCAACAGGTCCAGATGAAATTTCAAGCGAAATAATCAAACTACTCGACGATAAGGGTAAACATTCTCTTCTAAGCCTCTTCAATAAAATATATGAAACAGGACATATGCCAACAGACTGGCTACTGTCAACATTTGTAATGCCAAACAGTGTAGCGATCATCGCACTATCAGTCTGATGAGTCATGTCACTCGAGACTTCTTTTTAATATCTAGTCCGAATTTATTTTCAAAGAAGCCTTAGTTGAAGATAAAGGCATTAAAATCAACGGAATTAATGCCAATAAATCTTAGATATGCACACGACATTGTATGGTGCGCGCAAGCACTCTTGACCACGGCGCAGTAGATGAAATTTGGTTTAGTCACCACTTCCGTGTGAAATGCATTGTACTATGCACTAATGCACTGTATAATTCCATTTACAATAGAACCTTTCTGCCTTTACGTGAATTTGACTCCGCCTTCGCGCAGCTCCATGGTCAAGAGTGCTTGCGCGCACTATACTTATTGCCTCCAATGAAGAAGACCTGCAACGACTTATAAACATTGGAACCGAAGCATGTGATGAATATGGGCTAAAACTTAATAATTCTAAAACAAAACTTATGCTTGTCAGCAAAACGGTGTTACAACCAACGAATATCAGAGCGTATGGAACAGAGTTAGAAAGAGTCCACAATATTACCTATTTGGCGCAAATGTTAACGATAACTGCGATATAAATAAAGAAATAAGAATACGCATTGAAAAAGCCAGAGCCGCCTTCTATAAATTAAAGAAAATTCTAATTAATAGAAATATTACGTTAAACCTTAAAATCAGATTAATACGCTGCTACATATCGCACGCTCAGTGCAAGACTGCAGTAAGTCAGAATAAGTAAGTTTCGAGATAAAGACGATTTTGTTTATTTTCGTGCTAATATCGGTCAAAGACACAAGTTAAAAAAAAATTAACAAAAAATAGAAATTTATATAAAATAAAATTAATGCTAAAAAAATTAGAATTTCAAAGTTACAACACTTTTGCACGGATAAAATTGTTAATGACTACACATTTAGTATTAGAATTTTAAAGTTACAACACTTTTGCACGGAGAAAATTGTAAAAAGTGTAGACACATTTTCTGTTAGTTGTCCTCTTTTCGTATATCATCGTGGGCCAAAAAATTTTTTATAAAAACTATGGCGGACTTCTGGTATCATACCCGAATGGCAATAAATCATCGGGTAAGTAAAGAAAAAATAATCCCCAACAGCATTCAACAGGGTTTAATATGGTATTAAACTTTACATTTAATAGATTCCAAGAAATCAGATAGCTACCTAGAATAAATAGGTACCTAATAAAATGACTGTAATGACAATGTCATAATAGGGTAGAAAATTATTTGACAAAACTTTCAATATTTTTATTTAAATTGAAAACAAAAGTACTAAGTAATAAAAGTAATAATAAAATTATGCCAATCGCGCTAACTTGAGTACAGTGATTAACAAAAGGTTAGAAATTCACTACCTTAGTAAAAGTTTAGGGGGGGGGGGGAGCTAATAGACAATCGCCACAAGATTTAATACAATTTGGGATTTAGTTTTTTATAGAACAAGTTTTCTGAGAATAGATATTTTTAACCTGTCAGTATTGTTAATACACAAGTTTTAAGATAACTGTTTTTCCTTTCATAAGAAAAAAATACTTTTTGGCTGTAAATAATCAGTTTTAATTCATGTGTTTTTAATCCAATCTAATGAATAAAGCGTCAAATGACATCGCACAAATTTAATGAAAAATATAATGTCACACAAAGGACATAAAACTTACATGAATAAATTGGTAAATCGTAAATCTTTGTTTTATTGTCTTGTCGACCGTTAATGGATTACGTAGAGACTGTATATTAAAATTAAACACCACAGATATAGATATTAACATAACAAATATCTTACTTTTTTCGCGCCTTTCATTGTTTGTTATCGAAACCATTGCAATGTTCCGTGCAAAACTGTTGTAACTCTGTTACATTAGAGTTACAACAGTTTTGCACGGAACTTATGTACAGAAACGTAAAATAGTTAAACTGTTGTTGTTGTATAGGGGACAGATATGCACGTTTACCATCGAATTCCATGATTACTTCATTTTCATAAAATTTTGAGTTACTGCAGTCTTGCACTGAGGGTGCGATATTCTCCACATTGCTGTATGATATGGAGAGCTGGACCCTTACGGATACATTAATTAAAAAATTGGAGGCCTTTGAGATGTGGATTTATCGATGATTATAATGCGGATAAGTTGGCTGGACTAAATAAGACATGAAATAGGTTTACATCGAATGAAAAAGAGCTCAGAAATAACAAAAACGCAAAATGTTCGACAATTATAATATTTCGGTCATGTAATAAGTCATCCAGAGAGGTATAACCTTCTACACCTCATAATACAAGGAAAGATCGCCGGAAAGAGAGGCCCAGGCCGAAGAAGAACATCCTGCCTCCAAAATCTCCGAGAATGGTATCAAGAGATCACCGCTAATTTATTTAGAGCCGCCGTAAACAAGACTATTATTAGACAGAGTACTGAAAAAGAAGACCCTTTTTTGCTTAGAAAGTTGCAAAATAAGTCAGAAATTTCGATTTTTAAATGTTAATAACTTTTTTAAAAACGAACTTAGAACCTTCATATTACACGGAAAGTTTGTACTCGTGGTGTTTAAAATATGATCAAAACTTTAAAGCGCTGGATCAAATAGTTTAAAAGTTTTTTATTTGTTTATTTTAAATTAAATTTTTTTGCAACAATGTAAGTCAGAAAATATTGAAGTTGCAGTCATTCTACTGGTAGCTTATGAAAGAAGAATATTTATTCTATCAGTATTATAAAAAAATCAAGAAAAACAATTTTCAATATTGCCAAATTATTTTGCAAAAACATCGATTTTTTTCTTATAAAAAATTAGGTAGAATAACTTTTTAACCATTGCCTGCAAGAAAATAATTTTTTCATATTTGTAAATCTTGCATTTTTTTACAAATTTAAAAAAGAAAAAATTGTTCTAGGACAATTTCGGACGAAGTTATGTTTCGAGTTCTAATCAGTGCCATTTGAAAGAACATACTTTAAAGTTTTAATGTACAAAATTTGAAAAAGATTGCATTCACAAAGCTTCAAAATGTAGTCCTTAAAATCGGCCGACTTTGAAACTCGAGGGGGCGATGGAGGGGAACTCTACGTCTGACATAAAATTTGTTGAGGTTGAGATTTAAAATAACATTACATACTTGTAAAAATAGTTTATTCTATGCATAAAATAAAATGTCATATACAAAATTATACTATTTAAAAATATTTAAGTACAAAATTTCTATATTTATGTTACAATTATCACATCACTTTGGTCCCTTAATTTTATATATATTTACAGGTATTACAATAAATCCGAAGCAAATGTGTGTTGTTTTCAGACATATTTAAAATGCGTCTATCTAACTATCGGTAATTTATCCTTTCTCCCTTAGAAAGTTTTAAATAAGTTATCTAGGAAGATGAAGAAATAGAAGGTCAAATCGACAACCTTTTGGTACATTATTTAAAGATAAAAAGATATTCAGCTGCACCATCCAGGCAAAATATTAAACGAAACAAACTAAATGTCGAGCTGGAAAAAGTGTTATAGTTCAGCAATCTGATGAAATAATGACACTGAAAGTGTCAGTGAAGAAGAGTCACCAAGTGATAACGAAACAGAAAGTGAAACGTCTAATTTGGATGAGTCTGACATGATGGGGTTGAATATTTTGCCTATAA